ATTGATTCGGAAAAAAGTCACCTTGGCGCGCCTCATTTTTCCCCTTTAATTCACTGAGTATCATTCCGTTGCCGGGAACATAGTAAAAAATTACAAGTATATTTTAGCATTTCCCTAGCAAGTCATAAATTCGTAAGTGGATTATTGATTGAATGCATCGATTGATAATTACGTAATTACTTCAGTCGTTACGGACATCTTATCATGTATAAGCACTACACCTCATTTAAAACTATTCACTGATGATCTTCGTCCCCCACTCTTTGCCGTTGTCTCATAATGTGAGTGTGCCACCATGCATCGCTTATGAACGCGGCATCACACTGACCGGTACCCACTCTCCTCATACCGATATGCTATTTGACGTTCATTGGTGAATAGGTTAGGTACAAGTCAGGTATACGGAATCCAATTGTGATATATTAAGCTGAATCAAATCTCAATAGTTTTGGCGTTTTGTTAATTAACGTGCGAACTCTAGCTTTGTCAATCATTCACTTTCTACGAAGTATGTTCATTATCGAACAGCCCGGCGCGCCAAGTTGACTTTTTTCCGAATCAATTTCCTATGGACGGGGTTTGAAACAATATATTTTGTCATTAGGCCGAAAAAAACTTTTCTAGCGAAGATGAGGTTTGCAACAATCATATTGGTCGACAAATTTTTTTTGGCCGTTTGACGCCCACTATTTTTTGTCATAACAGCCGCAGTCAGCGTTCCGTGGACGCGAGGCAAAGCGACGCAGCCGTAAAACACTGTCTTACAGCCGGAATGACAAAAGCCATTATTAACAATAATCGATTTTCCAATCGAAACTAAAACTGCGGAAAATTGTCCTAGTTGACGCTGTCAACGTAAACTTGGCATTTTTTAATATTTTCATGGTTTTTTAAAAATAAGATTATATCATAATCAGTTCGCCTACTGTATCATTTAAACTATTCAGTAATTGTCCCATGTTTCTGTCTTGGAGGCAATCAGATTCACGTCGACTTGGCGCCATTTTTTCACAAAATTTTTTTGTGATTTTTTATGTTGTTCATGCCCACTTCGGTGGCTAATGATTGCAAAGTTCAAGACACAATAAGTACAAAATTTTGCGTTATCAAAAAATTGCGTAGGCTCTGAACAGCTACCTTCGTAATCTCCAAGGGCGAGACACGAAGTATAATGGAACAATCATGAAAAAAAATCATCAACTATATTAACTTTTTTATTTATTCCCGTATCTCTCAGCAACAATTTTTTTGGAACAGCTTTTAACATAATGACCAAAGTGACCGCGGGAGACCGCTAGCAGCGTTACCGGCGTGACTTCAAATTTAATTATTTCAGCTCTAAAACTTGTGGTTCAATAGGCATATGTAGCGGTACTACCTTCGTATACGGAGAAAAAAGACGTTGGGGAAAAATTGCTGTGCTCATCGGGAATCGGGGTGCAAAGCACACGCACGAGAAAAAGTCATGCCCTTAACCCTAATTTTTACCAAGCGAGATAAAAAAATTCATGTCCTTAACCTTAATTTTTACCAAGCGAGATACAGGAAAACTGTATCACTGTGGAAGAAAAATTACTGTGCTCGTGTCATAAAATTTCTTTATCGACCGAATAAAAATTATGCCTTCCCGCTCGAATTTTTAAATTGGCCGTAGAGAATAATTATTTCCCAATGAAACAAACACATTGAGTAATTGATTGTATCTACAGAGAGGAAGGTAAGGGAATATACACCAAAAGACATACATATATTATTTTTTGAAAAAGTAAAATTTATTAAATTCTTTTCATAACCACTTTTTAATTATAAATTTTGCACCATTAAAGGCGCGAACTAAATTTGTTATGATACCGCTATGTTCATGACTTAAATCTAAAATCGCCCAGGAGTAAGCCTCTTGGTTATGTGCAAAGCAATCATGATGTTCATCCAAGTAAATACCTTCCAGTGTCTTAACAATAAAGAAAATTTCGTCTGGAGAAAGTTCGGTGACCATTTTGCTGAAAGATGCTAAAGATGCAAAGGCTTAATTTCCATAATAACCCTAACCGATAAATCACATTGCATTCTAGGCTAATAATAGTAAAGGAATCAATGTGACGTTAATAGGGGTTAATTTCGAGAAAGAAAAACGAAAAAATAAAAAAAAAAACAGGTTATTTGACTGTGAAAATTTTGCCAAACAGACTCATTTAACCTCAAATAAATAATTTTCGAGTAAAAAATGAAAAATTGTCCAGATTTCAATGGGAGAATAGAACAGATGTAGATGAGTATTATGAAATGTACAGCGAGAATGCAAATATACTATATATATGAAACAAAGTGAAAATCAAATAAAAAAAACCCAACCGACATCATGCAATTGGATCTGTACCTTATAATTTTTCCATTAAAAACTAATTGATTTCAATACTTACCCAATTTTAATTGATTCTTCTTATAAAGTTGCACTTTTGTATTTCACAAAAGAGTTAAATAAACGTGTGTAAAAAGTAAAAATCTAAGAGGTTTGGCGGTATATCTGAAGCACTTCAGCCCAAGTAAAACGTTTGACACCGTCCGGAAGTAATCCGTGGGCATCGGCAATTGTTTCATCCCAAACTAGAGGGATGTCGTGAATATTCATAGGGAGCACAGTAAAAATCTCGCAGCAGCAAAGAGGCGTGTGGTAATTTTCACAGTATTGGATCATATTATGTTAATCATTTTTTTTTTGCGTTCGCAGTAATGCCTCGTAGCCTCAGAATTTTTACTGTGCTGCATAGGAAAATTCACTGATGAAAATGTCGAAAAATCTTCAATTTCCTGTAAATAAGCATGGTGTACTTAGGTATTATTCTTAGCCTCATCGATAAATTTTCCGAATAAAACATTTTGCACTGCGATTCCCGTGCCGAGCACAGTAATTTTTCTGGGATTTTTTTCTCAGTGTAATCTCGAAGAGCGAGACACGAAGAATAAAATAGATCAACCTTCGCACGCCTTGGGCGGGCTCGGTTATCGTTCCATTTATTAAATTATATTTAATTGAAATTTTTCTTCCTTCTTTTGTTAAGTAATTCATGAAGTATATTTATTTTCGTGCAGAAATTATTCATTCACTTTCAATATGAATAATTATTCTTATATTTTTCATATGGATAATTATTCTTCCATTTTTGATATGGATAATTATTCTCACATTTTTAATATGAATGCATTTTTAATATTGATTTATAATATGGAACTCTATGCACTGGGATCTCAGAAAATTCACTTCCCTGAACAATTTTTCGAAATTTTCTAGTTTCAAAAATTAATCGTCACCTGAGGGCGAGGAAAATACTTACTTAAAAAGTTAATTATCAATGATGGCTGAAAAATTCATACGGATGTTCTTGTGAGGTAGTTCCAAGATGAGGATGACAGTTATAATTATTATGTGGCATTGATTATTAAACAGCTACAAGACTTCCGTTCAAACCTAAGAATGAATACAAACAAATTCGTTTAGAATTTTATTAGAATAATCGAAAAGCGACGAAAACAAAGTTTTCCCCACATCTATAGATACCGCTTGATTGTACAATTGCGTTGTTTTTTTTTTGCAGAGTACTGATTGCTAGAAATTAAAATATCTTTTGGGTGTTGAATATGTATATTATTTAAGTGTTTTCTCATTTCGAAGTACTGATTATGTTTCTAAGCAAGAATTAAGCTGTGCTGACACTTGTTATTTAGATCGCCCAGAAATTCTCAATTTCTATTATTGCTTACTCAAGCATTGGCAACTGTAAAAAATTTAATTAATAATATTTTGCATAATTACACAATTCCTAACATGGATTATTCATTTTTAGAGTAATCATAAATTCCGCTTTTTCTATAGTTCATTAATTGCATAATCCAGATATTTCATATTTCACGTTGAATTACTCATTAGCCGAATCACTATGAATCCCCTATTTCAATTACTGCTTACTCAAGTAATCGAGAAAATCATGTACCTGATTACGCATTGCTCGTGTAATTGATTTTTCTTTTCGAGACATGAATAATTATCGAATCGCCTTCAATCTCGTCTGGAGTGATTTTTCGTGAACGGAAGTAACTAGTAATTATAGTCGTACTGTTGCTGTTACGGGGTATTACAAACCTTTTGAGTCGTGGCCAAAAGGCAACCTCGGCAGTCCACTGGGCCGTGACTAGAGCAAGGGAAAAATAGAGAGAGAAAAGTTATCTTTTACTGGGATCTGACTGGATAGGACTAAACACTAAGGTATACAATGGTTACATTCGCACAAGTATTTGAGTCATATGTCTTACAAGGAGAAGAAACACCCTATGAGTCCCCTTAAGTTGCATTTTTTTTTTAAACGCACAAATGCACTAGAAAATCCAAGAGAAGAGCCGAAGGGGGGGGGGGGGGGGTGAATGTGTTGGTGGCTCTTAATGTAGTGTCTGGTTTGGACTTACAATTACTACTGGCGAACCAAAAGGGGCAAAGAAAATGGATGTGATCACTCTGTGAACTTAAGCTGATGGATTGCTTTAAGCTCTGAGGTTCTTCGATGATCGTTGGTGAGTCGGTCTTCTCGGAGGAGTTAACAGCTATGCAAACTCTGATAATTTTCGGTGGAAAGACTGCCTGACAACGGGGTAATAGCAGAAAAAAACATTCAAAGATACAACTCATACATGAGGTTAAATGGGGGATTCATAACTCTTACATTTTTTTCTGCCTTATTGACCAATCGATAAGGTGGAAAAATTACTGCGTTTATTCATGCCCCTTTAAAATGTTTTAATATTGTTCCCTTGCGTTTAGCCCATCGGAAATAGTGCAAGTCGTAGATCAGGGAATTCATTAGTGAATTAAAAAATGTTTATCAAATTGGCTACTTTTTCTATTTCCTCTGTCTTGCTCGGTGATCTTTACTTTTTGATACTTACTTCAAATACACATTCTCATCATAACGATGAAAACTTCATTGGTGAGTTACTATTTCTGTTTTCAGGGTCATCACTGTTCGCGATGTATGTACAATACTCACTGTACTGGCTGTCCGGTTCCAGAAACAGGAATGATATCTCTCCAAACCAGCGATACGTTAGCAATTCGATATACAGAGAATGTTCCAAAAACACCACTACCTAGAGATCATGCCAGTGTCAGAAAACAACGTCCTCCACATCCTTTATCTCTCTATGATTGTTTGCAGGCATTCACACAAAGGTTTGTTTCTTCTCCAATAATCAGTAAGGAGACTGTGCTTTATACTGGCAGCACTCCCGACTATTTCCATTTTCAATATTGAAAGAAAAAGGAATTCAATCCTGATTTGGCCTTTTATTTGTACATTTCAATGAGCATGTACATAATTATTGGAACTAAGAAATCAGTGGTATAAAATAAGAGAAAAATATGACACATTTAATCACCCGGTTATTTTGTAAATGGCTGGATGATTAATTGCAAAATGGAAATATCAGGAAACCTATCGGGACTTGAATGAGACATGGCTTACTCATAATGGGGAATCACTTTGATGAATATTGAAGCTTTTACAGTAATGAAATACATTTTCGCCTGTTGTTTCGCGCTGTTGTTTCTGCTCCATTTTACACGTTTGAAAATCCGATATTTCCGTGTGATAATTTCATAAAGAACTTATTGGTGTAAAACATCTAAACCTTTGTAACGAACTCAAACGTTTAGAAATTTCTTTCCCCTAAGTTAATCTTGTGGTGCCCGTTGCTCAGTGTCCAGAGTTTAATTTATGGAAGATTAGAGCTTAGGTTCAACGCGTTAGCAAATTAATAATTCTTTCCCTTTTCTTATTAACTCGATTTTTCCCGTCGTCAAATGTCTCGATGTTTTTCCCAAACTTTTCCAATCCGAATTATCCCTTTTCCTTAGTCCTCAGTCCCCGTAGTTTCCCGGAGTTCCCTGATTCCTCTGTTTCCAATGTCTGTCTTGCTCCCTGGTGTCCAGTATCTCCCTGGTTC